ATATATAAAATTTAATAATTAAATAATTAAAGTATAAATCATGATTTTAATTGCACTCACCGAAGACTGCTTAATTGGAATATTTCTTATTTAGGTGATCAATTGTTGATAATTGGCGGAGTAACTACGGTGTTTATGAAAACCTTGAATAGCGTTGAATGTTATTGTTGCGATATGGGGAAATGGATGAAAGGTGTATCCGCGCTGCCGCATCCGGTTTCCGGTCACGGAACCGTGTCTTTACCACCGGCAAATCTTTTAATAAATCGCTGATAACTGTGAAATAAAAATTAACATGTTTCTTTATATGTTTGTTGCGTTTGATAATCGATGTATTTGAGTATTTATTATATCATTACCATTTGTATTTCATTATTTCTAATTATATATCGTATCACTTTTACGATTTACACATTTTTTTACGAGCCTATTAACCGTGCAATGTAATATTGCAAATCAAACAATATTTTTCCTATCTATTTTAGATGTATAAAAATTTCATCTGAACGAAGTAAATGATAAAATAAAATTCTTGAAACACTAAACACTCGTAAATATTGAAACACTATTTAATAAAGGTTAAAAATTTGTACTTCTTCCAAGCAGCACTATTACTTTCTAGATTGGCCACCAGATGGCAGTAGCATTCTCCCCATTCGGGAGCCGCCATCTGTCAAGGGAGTCGCGTGTTATGAACTGCAAAGCGTGTGTGGAAGTTTCGAAAAAGGATTCGGATTCGAATGCGGCGAGGTAACTAGCCGCCGTGCGGATAAACGCGAGTTAACCTGAAAATGGCCGAATCGTGTGAGTCAGTGGTGTCAAGTATAGTGACTAGTGTTGTGTCCCATGGACAAATAAAAGTGCCTGAAACACCATGCCAGGAGGACGCGAAGACATCCGGTTCCCCCGGTATGTAAGCTCTGCTAGAATATCCCATGATAATTTGAAAGCAGTTTATCCAAACGCGACTGTCGAGCGCGATCATGCAACAAGTGGCACGGAGCGCTCTCGCATGCCTAACAGGAGCGTATGGGGATATTTATGGGCCCGTTTAGACCTGTTCAGTATCCCGGTATTTTGTAGCTAACATGTCGCCGTCGATCACGTGACTCATCGTTGACCTATGCAACTTAATTTTCGCGCGTATGAAGTGTCAAAAATGTCGGCAAATCACTGATAACATTTTTCATAAATTCGAATTCATAAAAAGTATATTCAAACATTTGGAATTATATCGTATTCCAAAAATTTAAGTTTCTGGATGATGTTATAAGCATTGAAATATTATATTTTTGTCATTTTTTTTTTCCCATCATGATGACGAATTTGATTCTAATGTTTAATTCTAATGTTTCATTCCATTTATATTCGATGAAATTCCATTTCGATTTATTCGGATTAGATTTTAATATTGTTTTAATTATATGTATATATATTTTATTGAAAATCGTCACAATTACGGTTTAAATATTACATTACTAATGGAAAGATTATTTATAGTCAGACAAGAGATAGATAGAGATAGATAAGAGATTGTGAAACAACATTCTGAATCAGAATAATTATACAGATATTGAAACTTGATCATAAATATATGAATGTATTTTCTTAAATAAAACGTATTTTTAAATTTAATCTATATAAAACTATGCAAAATTAATGACAATTATAATTGATTTTATTCACCGTTAGCGACAGTTCATGGAAATATACCCACGAAAAAATACAACAAGTTTCTATACCGGTTTTATTTTATTTATTTCATCTTTAACTGACTTCGAATTTTTAATTTTCGTGGTGGCGCTATCAAACAAGAAAACTGATAGAGTTCAATTTACATTGAAAACATTGTTTTTTATATCAACTTTCATATGTTATGTTCCTCATTTTACTTTAAATGTTTAAAAATCTTTAGTAATGTGTTTATAAATAAGAGTAGATTAATTATCGAGAAAATTTTACGTAAACTCCCTTATCGACAAAAAATGATACCATGATAACTTATCCGCGATAAGCTTTAAATTACTTTAGATATGCGAGATTTCTCTTATATTACCTGTTTTCATTATTCGAACAAGTTTCATTTGTATCACAATTGACAAACGTATTAAACATTTATCATTTCCTTTACCATGCATCGGTATATTCTGACATCTTTAAAAGTAAAATTCTTGGCAAGTATGTTCATGTGCATTAAAAATTAAAGTTCTATTACATAACATAATGTTAGTTTTAATCTATATTATTAGTTTTGTTAATTAAACCTGTGTGATATATTTCTTCATTCATTTGATTGTCATCTGTTGTAAAAGCTTATTTCTTCAAATTGAAACAGATGGCGCTATAGAATCTTATAAAATGATGATGAAGATGGCGCTACTGTAAATTAATGTATATCATACTAACCTAAACGAAATATTTATTTACATGAGTTTTGATATGTCTTTCATTCTTTTTGGAGGTTAAGATTATTCAAAAATAATAAAAATGTTAGAACCAATTTTAGTTGAAGATATTACTTTCGCAAAAATAGTGCCATCGTTAGAAGGAATATTAAAAGATTTAAATAAAAACTCTATTCATCACGATTATATTGTTGCTTTGATAATAATTTTATTAGCAGAGGCTGGTTTTTATCCATTATCGAGAGATAGTGATCGTTCGCAATGGTAGGCATTATCACTCGATAACGTGTGTATTTTTCTAATCGTTAATTATATTTTTGTATTTTTTAAAATATATTTTTCTTAGTTCAAACTTGAGGTCTCTCCGTATACCAAAAAATTGGAAAATAGAAAGTACAGGGATGTATAACATATATTTTCAATTAGAAACTGTACCAAATATAAAATGCAAATTATTTGTACTACCTTTAGGAGATGAATTAATTGTAAGTTTTTATCCTTTATTGGAAGAAGGAGTTGCGAGAAAAGGTTACAGTATGGTGGTACAAACTTTAAGATACGTTAATCCTTATTCAAGTGATCTTTCTGGACGATATTTTAATCTAAAAGTATTATCTCACAGGTATAATAATTTTACAATGATGTTAGTAATCTAAAAATTATTATGTTTATTTTTATGATACTGTTTGATAGTTTTAAAAATACAATATCTACACCAGCACGTTCAGATATATTAATCAAAGCTGGAGTGATGGGTCCTAGTCTTCAAGCTATTCCAATCGAATTAAAGTACAGAATCTTAAAGTTGTTAGATGCCTGTACTTTAACAAAAATGGCACAGTGTTGTAAACAATTTTGTGAACTCTGTTCAGATCCACAATTGTGGAAATCCTTGATACAAAGAGACTTTCCAAATTTCATAAAAACAAGTCACAAAAAAGATAAAGACTATTGTTATCAGGACTATATAGTAGCACGCCGATATTCTTCTTTTGCGTCGAAACACAAAAATTTCGAAAGTACAGATTTAGAAGATATATTTTTTTAAATATATATGAATATATTGGTTTTTAATGTATTTTATAGCTTATAATAATAATATAAAAGAATTAACAAATTAATTAAAATTGTAATGTCTTTAATTTTGATTTAAAATAAACTAAACAGTTGTTTATACAACTGTTTTAATGTATTTTTTCTCATCCTCTTTTTTTTTTGCTCGTTGACCGAGTTCATATTCATTTAATCCTCACACTCTCATTTTATACTACTGATGACAATAACTGTTGACAAATAAATCATCTAACATCATTTGATAATATTTCTTTAATTAAAATATGCATATTTTAATTTTGTAATTTTGATTGATAAAATACATATAGAAGCGTAGAATACAATAATTGAAATGAATCTAATCAAATTATATTGTAGTATGAATATTGCCACAGTTTTGTCATGAATCTATATCGAAACTTTAGCTCTAATTCCAATACATACAATTTTATTTATTTATTTTTTATTAATTCGTTGCCTTTTGATTATTGTATTTTATAAGATTTGTATAAAATTAATCTTTAATGTGTTTTAATAACGATTTAAAAATCAAACCTTCGATTATTATTACATACTATTATTTATACTTTTAACTTCACGCCTCGATTGTCCGTGAATGCATCGTTGCACAGATATAATTTTAATAAGTGGAATTTATGGACTGTCATTAAACTATTATTGCAACGAACTAATTTCCGGAACATTTGTAAAGCTATTCCGTACGGCGTAATTACACTCGACAGACTCTATTTGAATTTTCCATTAAATAATTTCATATCGATCAATCAAAATGGAATTAATCTGTTCGAGATGACGTTTCCAACGTCTATAAAATAACTCTTCGCGTTGTAAAAATGTAAAAATCGTCTTAACAGTCTTTAATCGTCAAATTATCTGTATCTTTTTTACTTTTTTCTCTTTTCTGGACCATTCTCATTGTTGATTGATCTATCAAAATTCGTAAACGAATTGCAAATTTTTCATTTTTCAGCGGAGGAGGCAACGAAGTCACAGACGAGCGACGAGAGCCCTCAACAAGAGGAAACCACGACTCAGAGCAATGGTGATACCGGTGAGTGATAACCAAGGCAGCAACTTTGCTTCTCGCTCTGCTGCGTTTCACTTCTCGTGAGTACGTTAGATGGAAGCACACTTGGTTGCTCTTATCGATCTCGTTTTTCGTATCGGAAACGAAAATCCACCGTGGCTTACCTCGAATGAAAACGATCGCCTCGACTCGTGTTCCGAAATATTATCGCGTTCGCGATCAATTTAATTACACGACATGATCGTGAGCATTTGTTAACACAATCCTCGATACTCCAATCGATTTCTCAATACGTAACACGAATAAATAAATTGCCATGCGTATCAAAGTTTCATGCGCCGCGATTGTCTGTTGTCGAAAACCAGTCTGTTACGCACTCCATAGTTGCAAAGTTGGGTAGATTGGTACTTCGATGCATGAAACATTGATTATCTCTCTTCCCTTCTTCCGTTTCGATACGCGTCATTTTTTCCCGCAACATTTTTCAGACAGACGTCGAAGAGGATGGGAACATTTATCAATTGTTAGAATTGTTATTTAAATATGAAATATATTTTGTTGTTGAATTATATTAGGTAGAATTATTTAGAATTAAGAGAATTATCGAAAAAAAAAAGTTTTAACCTTATGGTAATTTACTATCCATGTAGATACGCGAAATGTAATTGAATTCGTATGTTTTACGCGTTCCTGGAAATTTGTTGATAATTGTTGTTACGCTTCTGATGATCATTGTTGAAAATACAGTAGAAAAATATTTGTTTAAATTGGATTTATCAGCTATAACGAGTGTATCTCGATGTTTCACTCGATTTGCATCCATCCATTTTGCAAAATCGAGAAAGCGGATAATTGGTATGAATATATAAATGTATCTTTATTGCTTTGATTTATTTGGCTTTTGTTAACTTCGATCTGAATATATTTTCTCTCGATAATCTTCATTAATTCGATCTAATAACAAATTCGTGTATTCTTTCCAAAGTTTTTTTATTCCAGCAGACAGAAATAATTGCATTTTTCTTATTTTAATCAATTTTATTTTATAGCCTCAATAATACATATTTTTTTTAAAACGTTCAAAAATCATAATTCAGGGATTCGTTTGCCAGAAGATATTTTTTGAATAATAAATTCTACTGGAACTATCAAAATTTTATTTTATTTTTATTCAAATTCTAAGACTTATTATAAATTTTCTAATAAATATTTAAAATACGTGGAATTGAATACTGCTGTTGGTAAAATAATGTATTTTGATTGTATTAAATGACAATGAAATCTCAAATATTCGTATTTATCGCAGTAATTCTCTATAGAATGATTTATATGTCGGAATAATTTTCACGTATAATTATTAGTGATATAATAAAACAATATATTGCATTACTAATTGAGTTAATATTATAAAATGTTTGTACATATAACATGTCAATAATTATTCTATAATCTATAATACAGAATCCTTATTCCAACGAGCTATACGATTTTTCAGATCGTAATTAAAAATTATTACGAATAAAAAATGATTTGTATAGAATAAGCAATACATCGTTTAGATACAGAATTAAATACATTTATAAAATTATACAAATTATATATACATATAAATTTTCATATATTTCAATTTCTACAATAAAAATATTTATTTTCACATAAATAATCTCAATTTCTTTTATATTTTCAATAATACTTGAGTCTCTTCTTTAGATGATTATTAATTTTCTTTTGATAAACATTTCATAAACGGTTGAGAATTAACGCAATAGAAGAAACTCTGCATATTTTCAGATTAAAGATAGTTCGCCAATAATGATTTCAACCTCTTTCCTTTTTAATTAAAAATATTTCTCTATCCGATAAGAAAATAAAAAGCAAAAAAAAAAATACATATATATACTTATACGTATTTCAATATTCACACGATTCAATCGTGACGTGCGAACTCAACTTATCCCTTCTTTTCCGCGACTTCTTTGTGACTTCTAATACTCTTTCCCTGCCTCGACCCAGCTTAACGAAGTTTCGGCACGAAACCCTTGGAATAAACCTCCACTGAGCGTGATAAGCAACGACACTCACCACCTCAACGCCTCCAATTTCGCGACACTTTCGAATTTCCCGGAATTCTCTCGTTCCCTTGCTCCTCGGGCAATTAACGAAAAAGAAGAAAGGAAGAAAATCGTTGTTCAATCGTACCACGATCCATCACGTTCGCCGAACGTTTTCGAATAATTAGCCGGCAATTAAGCCCGGGTTGGGCTCGCGTGCGAGCTTCAATTATCGCCGTTTCCTAAAACGGTCGCCGCACGATTGAAACGTTTGCCATGCACTCGACTATTTTTCTTCAATTAGAGATTCAGCTGCGAGCGCGATAATAATTAATAACGGCGAGAAGGGGTCGTTAACGCAGGAATTTAGGACAGGAATCGCGCTCTAAGGTCGCCTAGGGGAACTGGGTCACAGCAGGTGGCGACTCGCGGAATAGAGAGAGAGAGAGAGAGAGAAACGGGGTCTGGTGGAAGAGTGCACTTTTCAAAATCGACCGCTAAATGTTCCACGCGCTCGCGGAAGATGCACCCTCTTCTTGCCTTCCTTCCTTCCTTATGTCGTCGCCTCGTTTCGCCCATTTATCCTCCATCCTCCGTGTTTGACGTGTTTTCTCCTTCCTTCCTCTTTCATCTTCCTGCTCACATCATTCGCATCTTTCACACTGTGATTAACGCGAAATGTGAATATATTTGGGGGAAAACATTAATCTTGAAATAGAACCATACACAAGAGAAAAACTAGGTTCAATGTAAAGATTCCCTGGAAACGAGTTATCAAATCAATTAATTGATAGTTACTTGACTTATCGATCGAAAGTTTAAATAATAAACAGATCCTCGAATGATACAATTTTCAGGAAATACACTGACTGGTCTAAGATAATCCTAATCTATAAAAGAAAATTAAAAGAAAATATTCATTTTTCGTGAAGGAAAGCGAGCTAAAACCGACCCGTATGTATACGCGTATAACATCCGAAACGGGACAACGACGCGACTACTATGTCGGGGGGAAGTATTCGTATTCCGGAATCGGGATACTCGTTCACTGGTTAACTGGTGTGCGCTACTATGTCGTATGCGTATTTCGTAGCCCGGTAGCGGGCTTAAGCTTGCGCCGTTTCGCCTTCCTCTTCCTCTCTCTCTCCCGTTCGCGCCGCCCCCTTGTCCTCTCGCTCGCTCGTCCACCCTTTCCGTCGGGTGCCCGCGCTCTCTGTTCTCCGGGTTGCTCCCTGGCTCTCTCTCATCCCCAGTGCGCGCATCGAACCCGTCCTGGACGAAAGTCCTTCCCGCTCCGTGTCGCGCGTACCACGCGTACGTTTCGCATCGCGTCCACGCCTCGTCCACGCACGGATCTATGGATCGCGCATAGATCGTTCGATCGTTCTCTCTCGTCGTAGCGGGAGATGTAAGTAAGTTCTCTGTCTCTCGCTTTCCCTCGGAAACGCGGGTGGATCGAGTGTGGTGCGATCGACGGTGATCTCGATCGATCGAAGGTGAAGAGAAGGTCGAAAGTGGAAGATCGTCGGATCGAAAGGGTGGAGAGATCGAGAGTAGTGCGTGGTAAATAAAAATTCGTCGAAAGTGTGCCGGATCGCGTGTTTGAGTAAGGGATTGGATGGAAGCGATGAGTCGAGGCATCGAGACGACGATAGTGGTTCCTTTAGGATGGAGGATTTTCTTTTTTTTTTTTTGGAATTTTTCGAGAGATTTTATGATCGAGTTGATCGAGCACGCGGTGTTTCACGTGGTCTTTCGATCTTGATTTTTAGATTTCGATTTCGATTAGAGCGGTAGTGGAAGCTTTTTGGTTGGTTGAATGAGCGTTTGGGAGGCGATATTTTTTCGAAAATATTCTATGGATATGGTTTGACGAATCGAATAGGAAAGATTGTTCAAAGAATATTTTTCACAACAGTCGTGAAATTTTGAAAGATTAACGATAAAAGATTCGATATTAATTAAAAGTAACTGTTACCTTTCATTCGCGAAGCGCACGAAGGAGGACGAAAGCCAATAAAAGAATCACATCGACGACAATTCCCTGCTCTCGTATAAATCCAACCGCTCTCGAACTACGAATCAATCTTTATCCGAGCATACAGTTAATATAACGTCTCTGAAGGGGCATTATTTTGCTTTTTCCTTTCACGATTTATAACGTTGCAGAATCTATTAAATCACGTGCTTTTTATCCAGCAAATATTTAAATGTGTCTCCTGGCGAGAATATTCATATTCTCTCTTTATATCATATTCGATACGTTTATATACAAACGAACGCATACATCGCAAACTCGTGGCGCATCATCGCGTTCTTTGCATCGTTGACAATATTGAAATAAATTTGCAACTTTATTCGGCCAGGAAAAATTATATCGACGCAGTTCTAATGAAACAAATGATACGAAATTTGATTATATTTATTTCTCACCGATTCGTACAGTTAATGAAGAATAGAGGTTAGTTCTTTGCGCTTGATAAATTGTCAAAAAAAAGTAATTTACAATTTATATTTTATAACTTGCTTGAATTTAAAAAATAAAACTCTCGAGAATTATTATTCGCTTTAGTGTGAACCAACTGCCTTGAGAGTGAAAGTTATTATATTCGTTCACTATCAAAAGTCAGTGTCCATTCTCGAAAAATAACTCTCGAAAGTTTTGCTCTGAAATGTATTATCATAAATCAGGGAGGGTTTTGATTAAACATCTCAATTTTATTCGCAATTTTCTTCCTCAACGTGATAATAAATCAACCTCCATCCACCAACGTGTGCATGCGTTTGTACGCGTTTAAATGTACGCGACGACCACGTTTCGCGTTCGAACAGGAGCAGAAAGAAAACACAGGCGTCTCTCGCCTGTTTTTCATTAGATGGAAGCAGAAATAGTAATATCGATTTATTGCTCGCGGCGAACGTTCTCGTGTCAATTTCAATTTCTCGTGGACACGCAACGATAGCGCGGCCAGA